GAGCTCGTGGACAAGTAGCTGCATAAAGTCACTACGAGCCTCGAGGGCACAAAGAAGGGGAGGAAGGATAAACGTTAAAATCTGGTGTGGCAGCGTTTGTCCGAAGAACTATCGAGTTGATGCCGGTCTCGCTGGTGCTGGAACTCTGTGTCTAGATACCTCCCACCTTGCGGAATTCGGTTGGATCGAGTGAGTTCACGGCTCGCATGCCTGTTGTTTGGTGTGCCATGAATCACTCGTGGATTCGAGAAGGTTGATTGCGGTTAGCGAGAGATGCTTCTGTGCTCCTCCATGGATAAAATGAAGATATTAGAAAGCATTCAATTGGATTCTTGCAGAAACCTTTGATTCGGAGAAGCAAAAGGCATTTGCCTATTTATGCCTCCTTAAATTCATTTCAATCCCCTCCATCTCGCTCGCAGACAACCCGAGCAGCCGACTCACAACTCACGACGCTTCATGTTTGACGTTTTGATTCCAAAACGCTCTTCACCTCCCCGATCGCCTATTCGCATCCAAAACGGAAAGGATGTGTATTAACAATAATGCCCAGGTAAGGAAGACGCTAACACTGTCGCATTAGGGGGCTCGGTTGATCCAAAATCACTAACTTCCCCTTCTCCGTGTTCTGAAGACGGTCGAAGGACAATATGTGGTGAATATCCCCAACTCCAAAAAGGGTATTAAATGGTGCCGTGATGCCGATTCTAAGATGTACCAATTCTTGGCCCGGCATAGGCTCTCTCTCGTCCAAGTCAAGAGACTAGAGAAGGAAGCCGAGTTTCTCACTTTGTGCACGAACCTGAACTGCAACTTCCCCGAAGATGCATGGTTCAACGGCATCGTGCACAAAAAGATTATCTCCTCTTTAAAATACAAAATAACAAATCTCGTAGAAAGAGGAATCATCTATAGGTGGATATCACCTGGGGGTAGTGAACACGTTTTCTGGCCACCCTCGACCTCCGAGTGGACCAATGATGGATGGAGCGGTGACCTCGGTTCCGACCATATCGATGGTGAAGGCCTAAACGCCTTCATTGTAATGTGCAAAGCTCAAGAACGCCGAGAGGTACGTACACTGGATAACATTTGCCGTTCGTGGGAGGGAAGTCGCAAAAGCTAGAATGTCTCTTATTTCTGTGGCTTTTATTATTCTGGTTCTCTGATACATCAACCTAAAGGATATCGACGACCCGCGGCAACCAAGACGGGCAAGCCCCGGATTGAGGGCAGAACCCCACCAACAGCCCGCAGTATTTGCAAGACCCCGTCCCAACAATGCCAGACTGGCGGTTTTCACCATTCTCGCGGTGATCATTGCGGCGCTCATAGGGGAAGAGCACGTCCAGATTGGGCTCCGACGGGTTTTAAACTCTTTGCAATATGCCTTTAGACTCATTTCCCACTTGATCATCAAGGGGTTCTTGATAATGGTGCGAAGGCAACGGGCGTAGGGCCGGGGACGCAAATGATTTCTCCTTCTGCGAGATTGTTATTTCGCTATCTTTTAAAGACGAGATAATTTTTTCTGACGACGCGGTTGAACCTGCATCTTCCAGGTTTTCCATTTCATAACCGTTCAAATATCTTTCGGTCAATCGAATCACAGTTGTGTTTGACATATCCTTCCTTTGAGAAAACTCCTTTAGTTCATGTAGTTGTAGCAATAGATTCGCAGTTTATTACATTCTGGGGTGATCGACTGCGACTCGCTCTTTCAACCAACTCCTCCTGAAGATCAAAACCTCTTGGATCAATATTTGACGACGTGGACGGTAATGGCACTGATACTCATCCCCCGGGGTGGGTCTACATCTATGCCAAAGCTGATCGCGGTGGTTCTGCAAACATCGCGGTGGTGACAGGCTGTTTCGTCGTCTTCATTTAATACCAATGATGGCAACACACACCACATAATGGCCCTGGCATGGACATAATATAGAAAGATTTTAGCCTCTAAGTACCAAGCACGAGAAGTTCTAGGCAGTGAGGGAAAAAGAAAGAAGAAGAAGAAGAAGAAGAAGAAGAAGAAGAAGAACTCTGGTCAGAAACAAGGGAAGTTGGCTGGCGGAGCGACACATACTTTGTTCAGATAGACGAAACTAGGATCTCATGGCAATTCTCACCGAGTACTCTGTAGTTTGCATTACGCAGATTATGCCGGACAGTTCGAAGCGATCACCACCCCGTTCACATGACCAGTGGATGGACCAACGGCTGATGTCCTGGCGGGAGGGATGATAATGTGCTAATATACATTATTGGTGGCTTGTAGTTTCCTTACGGGAACAATTGAAAAGGCGCCCATCCTGGCGCTTGGAGTGACCATGTACCATGTGCCTCCGTCGCCTTCTTATTTCAGCCGCCCGAATGCGGCCGAGCCTGCCTTCCGGATTCGCGATGATCTTGACCAAGTCGACAATTCCTGTTTCCTGTTTCCAGCCCTGTTTCTTAACGCGAACCCAATTTCTCAAAGCTCTAGTGTTTTCAACTTTTCACATTTCCCTTGAGCTCAGATTCAACACAGATTTCCTCTATCCTCTCCCAACATTCCCCTCGAGGTTCGGCTCACCCACAATCCCACACCCGCAACAATCTTCCGAGATAAGATGGCCTCCAAAATCTCCACACTAGAACCCGGTTTCTACGGGCTTGAATGAGTAGAGGAGACTTTTGGAATTGAACCGCGATGGGCTGTCGAGCCCAAACTCGAGGCCATAAAGCAAACTCTTCAATCGCTCCACCCGGCCAGCGTTGTCGACGTGACCTTCCTTGCACAGGGCGCGTTCAACAAACTCTACGACGTGAAAATCGACGACCGGTCCCTGGTAATCCGGGTCTCCTTGCCCGTAGACCCTCATCACAAGACGCTCAGCGAAGTGGCAACGATCGCCTGGGTGGGCAGGACAATGGATCTTCCGGTGCCTCAAATCATCGACCACAGCGCCACACATGAGAAGAAAGGTCTTTGTATGAGAGGAAACAATAGAGGCGGATGACGATGTGCGAGGGCAGGGGCTCGGTAGTGATGTTGGTGATTGCGCCCCCACCGCACACCAATAATAAGAGCTTGAGCAGGCTTGATGAGATGCTTCTTTTGAGAAAAGATGTGTTGAGAGTCGATGATGGCTTGGGATGACTCAATCGATCTCCTCTGCAATGCTAATTGAAGAAAGAAAAGCACAAAACAAAGAAGGAAGAAAGAAAAAGGGAAATTGTGGACAAAGGGAAGTCGGTTGTTTTCCAGCGCACCAGTTATTGACCGTCACGCCAAGCCTTTTTTTCTTTTCTTTTTTTCTTTCCTCGGAACTCGCTTCTGTTATTGGGCTTTACATATCTACTCTACTAGCCGTGAGACATCCAAGTTCTAGACAGCCTGAAGAATCTAGAAATTTAGACGTACCAAGAAAAGGGACAACAGAAGAAAGACCTGCGTAAACACGATAGAAACAAGTGGCAAGTACATTCATTTTTGGATGCACGTTCCCTGCACTTCAAAATAACGTGTATGGAGTTTCCCCGAAATGGCATGCTTCGTCCCAGTATAAACTGTATGTTACTCGGACTTGATCTTCCCGTCGCAGCTCTGTGCGCCGATTCCGGTTTTTTTTTCCTTCCTATCTTGCCCATTGGATAGCGTGCGAGAATGTCATCTCGTCATAGGATCGGATGTCCCCAGCTGGTGGACCCCTTCTTCTTATACTGTTGATGTCTTAGAGCTTTGCCATAATTCCCTTGTGCCATAGCTGGATAAGTGGCCCCGTTTTCCCAAATACGGGGTCTGTCTCGGGTAAATCGACCTCTCGGATGGTTTGTCTGAACTCTTCAGCAGGCCTCCTGCCGGTTTCGTTCCGCCATCGAGGACAGCCCTAGACATCATTAGTCTTGCCTGGAGGGGGGGAAAAAAGGCCGGGGGGGGGGGATCAAAGAGCTTGTCTAACCTTTGGATATACCCCGACGTAGCGATAGTCTGACGCGCTGCGCAACGAGGAGTGAGCTGTCCCTGCTGGGAGGACGATGACGTCTCCTTCTTGCACGGTGACTTCTACGCCCCTGCCATCCGATATCTGTCCAAGCAGCAGTGTTGAGCTACCTTGAAAGATGCCTTGAACAGTGGACAGAAGTAATTAGCGAAAGGAGTTATAATAGATGGAGACGCGGTCTCGTACCATAGCATTCGTGGCTATTTGGATGGAAATGTCTGATGCCGATGTGACCCCATGTACCCTGCTCAGCTCCCATGGCTCATAGTTAATAACCGTAAGAGCAATAATCTAGCACAGGCAAGAGATTTGCATACCCTGTGTTCCCATCCGTTCTCTGTCAGAAATTTTATCGCAGACTGTTCTGTCAACGGTCTAGGCAAGACGTCGCAGTAGTGCAGGATGGGTAGTTGGCTGTTTGGGGCATCGCTGGTGGAGTCCAAGAAGTAACAATGAACGCGTTGGGGCATATTGGTCGTCGTTCCCATGTTCCACTAGAGAGATATCGTATATCAAACTAGGCTTCTTAAAATTACAGAGCACGGACTAAGCTGCTGCTGGATCATTCTGGGATCTTGATATGATAACAAGGGTGAATCGAGAAGCTCTGAGACGGAATGTAGGGAAGCGGACTCTGGGTCCGGGGCGGACGGCGGACCGTGTTCCGAGCACATCCGCCTGGCTTATCTCTTTTGGACAACCTAACCGTATCCGTTGTGTCCGTGCACGCGGGGCGTCCACCCTTCCACCCTTGCTTGATACGGGGTAGTTGATATCGTTGGTGATTTGATGATCACATCAAAGTTTGGCGTTAGGGCGCTTTGATAGTGCCTTAGTGCCTTGGCTATTTAGTCGAAGGGGCTCCTGCTCCTTTTCGACTCATTTAGACTTATGCGGCGTAGTGAGCTCAGTTCTCTTAGAAACGGCTCTAAGGTTAGTCCAAGTGGACCTTGGTTTTACCCTACTATTCATCATCGACTCCGGCGGCCAGTTTGCGGCCGACAGAATTCCACCATGAGCGCAAAAGGCGACCAACATCAGGATGCATCTCAGGTCAGGGTCTCGTTGGAGAAGCCCGTGGACAGTGTATTGAGCCGCACTGAGGGTGACGTTGAAGTACACAACCTCGATCTTGTCACCGAGGCCATTGACGCTATCGGATTCGGCAAGTATCACTGGCAGTTGACATTCACCTGCGGGTTCGGCTTTCTTGTTGATCAGGTTAGAGAACCGCAATCAATACCCCGCCTGATCAAGCGTATTGACTTATAACGGAATGGTTATAATAGATGTTACTCGTGTCGGTCAGCCTGGTGACTCCTCAGGCCGCCATGGAATTCGGGCCTCGATACGCGACTCTGCTTTCGGTGGGGCTGTACGCCGGGCTACTGGTAGGCGCATTGTCGCTGGGCGCATTGGCGGACAATCTCGGTAGAAGATTTATCTGGCAACTATCCATATTCGGTGTTTCCATTGTCACCTTACTTGCTGCTAGTTCGCCTAACTGGGCTGCGTTGAACGTCTGGGTAGCCCTATCCGGCTACTTCGCCGGGGGTAATCGTAAGAGGACTTAGGCTCCCTTTGAGAACCTTCGTGAACTACGATCTACCGGACATCATACTAACCTGGGACTGGACCTCAAATAGTTGCAATCGACTTGACAATCCTGGCAGAGAGCATTCCTGCACAATGGTCGTTCATACTCTCGGGGCTCGCGGCTGTGTGGGGATTGGGGAATGCCATTTCTGGCCTGATCGGTATCTCGCTCGCCATCTCCCCCCGTCCTTATTAGGACCTCAAAGCCCCATCTGATCTGGCTCCCATTGCTAACAGGACGATATTAAGCGTGGCCGCTGCTAGTCAATTTTGGCTGTCCCGCCGGGTCGACCTCAGAAACTTGCGCCAAGGGCGCCAATATGGGCTGGCGCTACTTATATATCACGCTCGGCGGCCTCTGCCTCGTAATGGCTTTCATTCGCGCTCTCGTCTTCAAGTCGCGCGAGTCGCCCAGGTGGCTGGTCTCATGCGGACGTATCACGGAAGCTGTTGACGTCCTCAACAAGATTAGCTCAACTAACGGTTCAGATTATAGCGTGACAGCCGAGCACTTCATCCAGGGGCCGCGACATAGCGTCCAGGTCAACTCACTTAGAGAAAATGCTCGAAGAGCTGCAAGGCTCTTCTCTGGCGCTCGCCGCCCCCGGCTTATGGCTTGCCTGACTGTCTTGTGGGCCTTGATCGGCATCGCGTATGTTTCTACACCTGCGCAAGCAGGTCCTCCTTTCAATTGTTAAAGTCGAGTTATTATCTAATTTTCATATATCACATAGTTATCCCCTTTACACCGTTTTTCTGCCGTATTACCTAGCCGCCAACGGGGCCACGCTCGGTGAAGCTAGTACCTACATCACATACCGCGATTGGGCTGTCTCCTCCGTTGTGGGGATGTTTGGCCCTCTGTTGAGCATGTACATGGTGTCAACTCGATGGCTGCGGTCCCGGATATCCATCGCAATCACGGGCGTCGCTTGCGCGGCGTTTTCGGCCGCGTTCACCACTATCAGGACAGAGGGTCAGAACCTCGCTTTCTCCTCGATGATAAATTTCTGGCTCAACGCCCTCTATGCGATTATTTTCTCGTAGGTTTCTTCCACAGTCTTAGAAAGGCGGAGATCAACAGCTTAATCCTAATATCGCGCAGATACACTCCGCAAGCTCTCGACGTGGAGAACCGTGGAGTCGGGACAGGCCTGCTTATGGCTATCGGTCGTTGTGCTTCTCTGAGTGCGCCATTCATAGCCACATTTGCCGATGTGACAACGTCTGCACCAATCTGGGTGTCATGCGGATGTTACGTGGTCATGGGGTTGATCGCTCTGGCTCTACCGGTTGACACGGCGGCTTTTCGTGGGAGGGCTAGTCAAGAATAGCAACCTACCTGTGGCTCCAGGTGTGAGATATATTTACATACTAAGTTGCAATGTGAGGATTGCTGATTGATTTTCATGGGGCATGGGTTAGGACGTGGTTCGCACTTTAAACCCGTCAGCTCCCGTCCGATATATTGGCAATTTCGGACCTCTTCGGGTTTTTCTTTTTTTTTTTCTTCTCTCTTTGGGGTTTATTTATTTATTTTTTTTTCACTTTATTTTTGGGGGTGTATAGATATGCGGCCATACTCGTTAGTGGTCTTCGTTGAGTTTGTTAATTGAGAACCCATTTCTCGTCTGATCCCAGGCAGCCTCATGTTGCCTTTACCCACCATTGGCAGCTTGTACTATCTTGACATAACCCGTAACATACTGCGCACAGCTCATTTTCACTCCGCCTATTCTCCTAAATGTGAAGTTTGGGGCTGCTTTACCCCGTATATGCGGGAAGTACGGCTCCGTTCCCGGGGCGGCGGGAAAGGGAGGTGCACAGGATAAAGGGCCATGGAATTGTGGACCTCTTCCAAGTCTGGAGATCAGCTACGCCTCCGGTGTTTGTAGAGGGCCACCTGTTTAGCTAGGTCTACTTGACGACGCAACCGTTTTCATAGTAAGTTGATGATAAAGTAGGATTGAATTTTAAGATCTAAAGCAATGCAGTATGCTATAGAGGCAAGAATCCATCTATTTACACCGGTACAGTGACACCCACACGCTGCTCTTTTCCGGAGTCAGTTGCGACTCCGCCGAGTACGCCATTTAGTGCGACAACCTCCTTTGGGCTGTTGGTAGCTTTTTCGGTCACCTCCACCCCCTGGTCGGGTCGGGTCCGCAGCCGCGACTGGCTATTTTGGAATGGAAGAAGACAACTCCGCGGGAGGGGCGGGCTTTTCCACAGGTAGAAACTTAGATCGGAGCCCTTACGTGGAATTGTCGTTGCCGTCCTCCAGGCCTCTTGCTCTTCGATTCCCAGAGGGTCCAGCTTGGGACTCTCAACCCATGATAATCCGTGTCCCCAGTACGCATATCGCTCTCCTTCATATTCCCATTCGTAATCTTCCCAGCGGTTTTCGGCAAGTACTTGCATGTAGTGGAGGGAGCTCCCAGGCCACAACGCCGTCACTTTTCCATCGACGCCTCTCTTGACTGCATTCATGTCAGCTGAGCGTGAACACCGCTGTTGTCAAAACCCGACGCCAGAGCTTTTGACTTACACCAACTGCGGCATGTACCTGTCCAGACCATGTCCCGCATGGAGGCTTGCGTATGCACGTCGAAATCTCTCTGGGCGTCGGGGCGAACCTTGAATGACTTGATGCGCTGTCGAATCATCTTGCGCAGGATCCGAATAAAGTAGTCGCTTGTGGCTTCAAGAGCCCCTGTTCGATCACGTTAGTCACAGCTTTCTCACTGACTCTCATCTCTGTTGCCGGCCGCATCTTACCCATCAAGCTGCCGTTCGAGATGGGCGTATTGGGACCTAAGAAAATGAGATAGTTCGGGAATCCCGCCACGCCTGTCCCCAAGTAGGAGATGGGATTCTCCGACCACAGGTCCTGCAGATTCACTCTATTCAAACCGATTATGGGGAACCGGGGCGTAAAGGTGGTATTAAATCCGGTTGCAGCCACGAGGACATCTGCCGGATACAATACGCCACCGGCAATAGTACCTTCAGGGACGATCTTTTCGATTTGATGGAAAACAGGCTCCACATTCGGCTTTTGAAGGGCTATAAGGAAGTCCTCTCCAGGATTGATGCGCCGGCACCCTACCTCAAACGAGGGGATCAAGTGCTTCTGCAAAACCTCATCTGGGATAAGCGACTTCATACGAGCCTCGAACTTGGTGCGTAGGTCTCTCTGTTCGGGGCTGTCCTTGACGAAGGCACGGAACATTCCGTTAAACTTGTCTTCCATGGCCTTTCGGGTTTCCAAGTATACCTCGTCATTCCACCTGAACCGTTCTTTTTCGCGTTCCTGGTATTCGTAAGACGCCGTTCCGCCATCTGGCAACGCCACAGGGGGACAGATCCAAGAAGGGGTTCGAATGTACACGTGAATCTTGTCTGCTAGAGGCTGAATCTGGGGAAGTAGCTGAATGGCGCTTGCTCCGGAGCCAACAACACCTATTTTCTTGTCCCGGAGGTCTACTGAGGAATCCCATTGAGCGGTGTGCAAAACGGGGCCTGAGAATGTCGATAGGCCCTCGATGTCAGGCATTTGGAGATTGTTAAGAATGCCGCTTGCGTTGACTAGGATCTCCGCTTCGACGGCTGGGCCATTTTCAATTTGAACCGTCCATGTACTTGTGTTATCCGACCACTCTGCAGATATAACCTTGCTATTGTATCGGATGAATTGCTCCAATTCGAAATGGAGCGCGACTCCTTTGAGATAGCTGTTGATCTCCTGCGACGAAGCGTAACTGTGGAAGCTATCGTTAGTCAAGCTGTCTCATACGCAGTAGCACAGGAAAGAAGAGATGGCACGGACAATTTCGACCAGTTCGGGTTCGGGGCGAAAGAGTACTGGTAACAATGACTCGGCACATCGCACGCGCAGCCTGCCTCGGAAAGACAGATCAGCAAAGTCGTCCTCACGCATCAACCCAGAATTGTTATTTGTTGAAATGGATGAATACCTGGATACTTATTTTCGTACCAAGTTCCCCCTAGCTCGGGCGATTTTTCGAATATCTGGAAATCAACGTAGTCCTTTAAATGCTTCCTCAGCTTGTAACCTGTATTGAAGTGGTGGCGAGTCAGTCACGGAGAGGGCGACTGGAGTCGCTGTTCGTGATATCTTACCCATGAGAAGGCCGGAGACACTAATTCGATTCTCAATCAGCAATGAGCAAGCCTTCCGGGTACCTAGCGACTTACCCGGCGCCAATGATCGTGCAGCGAAGCCGCCGGGGTGGACGGGAATAGTTTGCTCCTATTGTGTCAGCCATTATTCACAAGCAGGTTGTCTTAGTCTTCGAACCTCCAACTTGGAACTTCAAATCAGATCGATTTTAAGAGCTCGTCCCCTGTCGTAGTACTTAGACACCTCTACGACAGCCTCTACAGCCTCTTGTGACGAACGCAGCGCGGGACACGGTCCGGCATGGACCAGGTCAAAGCCCCAGCTCAAAGTGATGTGGGCCCGGATTGGGGCCCGGACTGCAGGCTCCCGCTAATCGAACACTAAATATAGCGGCGGGAAGAGTCTCTCCGGGGCGGGCGCATGGGGTCCAAGCCCATCAGCAACGCCCGCCCAATCACGCCTGCGGTGAGCGATGTCAATACGAAATTACAACATTCACTGAAGCAAACCCGCAGCGCACGGTACGGGCACCCGGCGCCGACCATGCCAGGTGACAGATGAACCACCCCGCCGAGCTTCATGGTATACCCTAACAATTCTTAAAGCTTCCTATGTATAATTCCTCTTTATTCTAGTTTTTCCGGGTAATAATTTTATCTTATAGTATTCCCAGGGCTCGTCTATCTTACTATTCTCGTAGCGTAGTAAGAGGATAGAGATATTCGAGACACTGGCGATACTAAAGTTGAAGGAGACATGGGAGAAATTGTAAACCAGCGCTTGCTCCTCCTACGGTAATAGATATGAGTCTTGGAAGCCATGGAAACTCTCGAACCTCGTCCTCGTAAAGTCCAACACCTGCGTCATACTACAGTTTCGGCCTGCTCCTTCTCCATATCTGCGGAAAAAGGCAAAATACGGACAGCCATCCAGACTTTCCAGATGACATGAGCAGAGACAAAGGAGAGACAGCTTACGAATGGATTGGAGTATTGAATCGGAACGGGTTAGGGGGTGTGGGTCCGGAAGGCGGACCGTGATCCGGACAGGGGGCTGTGGCTGGTGTCCGTATCCGTTTCCTTGATAGCCTATCATATCAATTCCCCAGCTGATCTGTAGAGGTGTTACAATCGGCCACGACTATAAGTCGAAGTCGCATAGTTCCCACGGCGAACTCTAAGTTCAGTTGGCGCACGGCAAAGGACCATCTGCTTTTACACCGCATTATCAAGTCTTCCTCTTCGCTACCCTCAAACTTCCTTATCAGACCCCCTGCAACTTGAGCCAAAGAGACGCATCAAGCTAACTAAAAGAGGAAAAATAGTTTGACGACTAAAATGAGTGGATGGTTCAGCGTCCTGAAAGGCTCCAGTGCTGGGAATAGCGAGCCGCAGGCGGTGCGAGCCCTGCCAGCTTCATGGTACCGCTCACCGGCCATGTACGATCTAGAGAGAAGGGCTATCTTTTCCAAAAAGTGGTTGGTTGTGTCCCACAAGGCGAGATTCGTCGAACCTGGCGACTTCCTCAAAGTCACCGAAGCTGGATTTACCTTCTTCCTCATCAAAGATCGTCAAGGTGAGATTAGAGCGCACCACAACGTGTGCCGCCACAGGGCATATCCCATATTGGAGAAGGATTCGGGAAAACTGTCAATACTGGCTTGCAAATACCATGGTACGTGTTACCTTCGAGCTCCAGAATCCTGTGTCGTCATGAGGTTGACCTTTCGTGCTCGGCTATAAGGCTGGTCATATGGATTCGACGGCAAGCTGGCCAAGGCACCCAAGTACCAAGAACTCCCCTCGTTCGACAAGGCCGCCAACAGGCTGTTCAGCATACATGTCCACGTGGACAAGCTGGGCTTCATATGGGTCAACTTAGACGCAGAGGCTACACCAGCAGTGTCTTGGGAAGACGACTTTTCCGCGGTTGACCTTCAACCACGCTTGCAGGGCTTCGATATGACCAAGTATCGTTTCGACCATCAGTGGGAAATGGATGGCGAATACAACTGGAAGACCTTAGCTGACAACTACAACGAGGTAAGACTCTCTTCAGACGGAATTGGAGGACCTTGCCAGCCTAACATGTACGATATAGTGCTACCACTGTCCGACCGGACATCCGGCCCTCAACAATGAGACGGATCTCTCGAAGTACTGGGTTGAGACATCAGGCGGACACATCCAGCACTTCAACGTCGACAAACCAGACAAGGAGGGCATGGGCATTCACAGCACCTTTTACTACCCGAACGTCGCTATCACTATTTCGTGAGTACCCTAGGCCGACCCGTTTTCATCTACTGGTCCTTCTTTCCGTCCGTCGCTCACACTATTCACACGAGCGGGAAGACCGACATTCTTTTATATTATGCGTTGCATCCCAGCCTCGGCCTCCCAGACCAAGATGGAGTACGAAGTCTACAGGCACAATGACGCCTCGGATGAAGACTTTACCGGTATTTGGGAGTTTTTCAAGCAAGTTCTGCGAGAGGACAAAGACCTATGCAACGCCGCACAGAAGAACCTGAATGCTGGAATCTTCCTAAATGGAGAGCTTCATCCTCGAGTCGAAAAGGTACATCTGCTTTTGACCCAACTCGGCGCAGAAACAAGATCCAACTGACTCCTCATGTGCGTATTATGAAGGGACCCTTGTTCTTCCAAGATCTGACGCGAAAACTCGTCATGGAGCACCAAAAGCAGGAAGAGACGGTCGGCCATGAGATTTGGCCAGCCACCCCAAGGCACAAGCTGACGGACAAGAACGAAGAGGAGGTGGATTTTTGCAATGCACTTGACAGGGCTGCTTGCCAAGCGCGGAAGGCAGAGCTTAGTTGGTAGATCGGTAGATTAGTAGATATAAAAATTCTCCCCTAGAAATTCGGCCTTGCACCAGTCGCTAGGGTATCTTGAGTTCTTTTCAATACATGTCACTTTAAAAAAGCACAGAAAAAAGAAAGAAAGAGAGAAAGAATTTGTCAATTAAACTCTTGCTTACCCCAGATTGATACTCATCCAGTCGTCAATCGCCCTGCTAAAGTCATCTGCTTGGAAATACAGGCCCTCATAGTTGCTCTCCGCTCCGATGCCATCCACGTAGCGCTCTGCGTCCGCAACACCTGCTGTTGCTTCAGGTGCCGTTCCAGGCCCGCTGGATGCGTGGTCCAGTGGCGTAGCGGCGTCATCCGGAGGGTAGGCTGGAGAATCCTTAGGCACAGTTTTGTGGCCTGAGATGCCGGCGGATCCTACCAGGTCGAACTCGGCTGTAGTTGTGTCTTGGTTGTTATCCTGAATTGCTGCTGGAATCTGTGCAAGTGAATCGTGAAACATGGATTGGTCCGCGGCGGCATCTCGCTGTCCAGCTCGCTCATATATCAACATATCCCACAGCAACTGCGCATTGATAGACGGGGCCTGGCGTAGTCCGGTGGAATTTTCGTTTCCAGCCCTAGTAGGAGTAGTAGAAGGAGCAACGACAACACTACTTCGTAAATTATCTAAGTTGTCCGCCTATGGAGCGTCGCCGAGGCTTTTAGTACAGTAATAGAAAAAGAAAGAACGAGGGAAACGGAAGGGATGGTGTATTAGACAGTCAGGAATGGGAATGCACGTACCATGACGGACACCCGCGGCCAGGTGGATCCCATGAGGCGTAAGAACTTTAAGCACTTGTCGAAGCCCGCCTGAGCCTTTTCTCGGAGACTCGGTTCTTCAACGAAGCTATGTTGAAGATGGATTGTGGCGACAATGACCACACAATGAGCCAATGATGGGTCCGATGGCTGGAAGGACTTCTTGTCCAACAAATCGATGAAGTATGTAATCCAACCGGCATGGCGAGTAATAAGATCAAAGGACTGGTGAATGAAGAATTGAGGCATGGTATGGCGGAAGTTCCGAAGGCGCATGGACAAGAGAAAGGGGTGGTTGAGAAGGCAGGGGATGGCCGCGTAGATGAATTGAAGGAACAGCCAGGGACCCCAGTAGTGACGGTGCTTCTGTAACGACTCAGGCGTCTGGTCTCCAAACTTATTGGCCGCAAAACGGTATCTTAAGGGGACACTGCAATCAACTTCCAGATGGCGCTGCGTGACGGCCGAATAGTCAGACTGAGGACTCCAGGGCGGTGGCGTGTCCGGTCCAACATGAGATGCAGCGTAAATTCTAGCCATATGCCACACCTCGCTCAACTGAGAGGTGTATTTCAGAATGCCCATATCCGAGCGGCTATTGAGACAGCTGGTGCCTCCGTCCAAGGGCACGGTAGGGTTTGTCGTTAATGTCCAGAAGGAGCTACGGCCGGTGATGGCGGCCAAGGTTTGCCAACCAATTAAGCCCGCTCTAGGATGATGCGTTCCAGGTATGACACATCCCTGAAGTTGCTGCAAGATGGAAATGCTTCTTATACAGTCGCTACATTCTAGCGGGTCTCCAAGAGTGTTTATAGATTGAATACTGTTACTGAGGGCGCTGGCGATCGACAGATTCACCCCAGCTTGCATCGTATTCCCATCTGGCCAAAGGGGTCGGGGAAGAGAGACCTTATTGTTAGCGCTGTCGTGGAGCAAAGATGGGTCATGTCATTAAATCAGGAGGCATTTCATTACTAACCAGCCATATCAACCATGCTCAGCAGACAGAGGGATTGCAAGGTCGACAGCTTCACACGGCGATTGACGAGGCAATCCATTGTACGCTGGCGAGAGAGCCTCGACATGGCGTCAAGGCGCTCTTGTTTAGACGGCGTGAGCGTATTGGGGGGGAACCTCAGGCTCAGGGCCTGCATGGCGAGGAGAAGTTCGTGATCCCTCGACTTTAGAGTCTCGAGGAATTTGTCTTCTGTGAAAAGGGATATGGGCTGATTATGGCACCATTTGAAGTACAGCCGGATGGCCTCGTGAAGCGTGGCGTCGTCCAGGACAAGGTGTGTAGTAATGCGTGGAGAGGCAGCCGGATCAAAGAGCCACGGACGCTGGTGCTCGGTGTTGTGCGAGGTATTACTACTGCCTGTAATCCACGGTCCTTCAACGACATGGCAGGATCCGGGAGTCGAAGCCTGGGACGGTGGAGTGGTCTGGCGAAGTGAGGCGGCGACAGGCCTACGAGAAAAAAAGAAGGTGAGTAAGAAACAATGGTGGGTAACAAGAGCGAACAAGAAAACACAGGCCACCGACAGGAGCTGTTGAAGCAAATGATCCATTTTGCCTTCCAAATTATCGATGCGTTGTTCCTGGGGGAACTGGTTAAGATCGGGAACAGAACAAGTCGAAGCTATTCAAGTATGATAGGGAGAGCCACCATCTTCCGGCTGTGCCTTACGGCGCTGGTCTCGTGTTCACTCTCATTATAAACACATTGTTGCCCCAGGCGATGACAATATGAGCACACAGGTCTCTCGCCTGGGCATCTGGTCTTTTTGCGGCTGTGATGCAAGTTAGTTAGGGCACAGGACATGGCTTAGCTTCTGGAAAGCTCTGCGGAGGGACTTGTCGCACCGGCAAGGATCACAAGCTTGCCGCACCCGTTTTGGAGGACGCGTATCTTCCATGAGCGCGAGCACAAGTAGAAAGTATCTCGTTTTTCGGTCCGTTGATATGGGCAATCCAAAATGTTCTAGCGACCGAGAATCGCATTGCAGGTCAGAAGTAGCAGTAAGAGTACGTAGAAGTAAAATTGAGCGGAAGTAAAAAGCGAGTAGAAGTGGGTTAAGCAGTTTAACTACAGCATATAAATCCGAGCTCCTGGTCACATAAGTGGGGAAACGGGAACCTGGTGCTTCGTACTCTCCTCTGATTAGATTTGACTCTTATCGGATAGGGGATGCGGTGTTGTGTCGGCTGCCGAACTTGGTCTAGGACCTGGCAGCTTCCCCGCACCCCGCTAGTACTATTAAAGCTAGCAAGGCGTAAGAAGTGTCTCCACCTTGATAAGCCTCAGAGAGCCCGCCACAGCTTGTCATCTAGTTTAGATGGTTGAGCTGAGCGCTTCAAGGTGTGCCACGAGCAGCCTGGGAGCCAGACGTGAAAAGTAGGGACAGACGGCAAGTGGATCACGTGAGAAGATATTAGTCAGAAAGTCGCACTTGCAGGGAGCGACCGATCGGGCATTCCTACGAAGTACACACATCGTTCCCTCGATGAAAACAGCTCTTGGATACGTCCAACACGTACGGTACCATCTAATTATTTGACGTTCAAGCAGGACTCGTCACCTTCAAAATGGAGACCGCGGCGGCGTTCGGTCTCGCCGCCAATGCTATGCAAATGCTCGAATACACCGCTAAATTGATCAAGACAGCCAACAAACAGGAGCTATGCAGGCAGCCTGCCCATCGAAATGCGAGAAATCGAAGCCATAGCGATGAGCCTAGTGCACTCAGTCAACATCGTCACGCAAAAGTCTAAAGATTAATAGGACTAGGCCCTTACTACTATATACAATTCCAGCCTATCACTTGCTCAGGAGCTACAAGGCTTAATAGGCGTAGCAAAGGAGATCACCATTAAGAATAGTAGCAGGATAATAAATATCTTTTAGGGAATATTTTAAGCTATTATTTAGATTGAAAAAGAGGTAAGCTAGATCTAGTTAAGGCTGTTATATTTACAGCAGTAGATAAGGCTCTATCTTATAATCAAGAATAGGTAGAGTAAATACTCTCCTAGGGTTCCTATACTTCCTTATTATAAATTAACAAATCTTAATAATGTAAGTGTAATCAAGGCAAAGTAAAATCAAGTTTAGATATCTTTATAGGAAGGGTGATTAGTATTAAGGAAAAGATTAATACTTTAATATTGGTGTAAGCAGAGAAATATCTATTACAGAGCAACCATTCATTAAGAGCCAGGAGGCTGAAGCTAACCCTGAAGTTGAAGTCAACTCTAAAGGAGAAACTGAAACTGAAGCTAGTAAAGAAGTTGAGATTGTAGAGTTAGCCCTTCTATTGCCTACTGAAGTAAGACTGTCGAATCCATCACACCTCTCTATTTGCTCGCCTGTGATTAATTAATTCCTTGTTCCCATTTTTATGTCGCCGTCCTATCTCCAGCAAGTGAGATAAATGCGCACATTACCTTTGTTTTCTGTTTGAATTACCTATCTCGACGGCCGCGCCCAAAAATTCTTGAAGGATTGATTTACGAAAACTCAATCCCATCGTTCGGAAACTGGTGCCTCCAACCTCATGCTCTTCCATTATCTCTGCAGCATGCCCTCGCTTCTGTCCACTCTGCTCCTGGCTTCGACCAGGAACTGGAGAGGCTCACTTGCCCTTCTAAAACTAGAGCCTAAGCTAACCCTCTCCCCCTCCCTTTTTTCTTTTTTTTTTTTTTTTTTTTTTTTTTTTTTGTTTTCTTGATATCGGTTCCGGTTACACCTTGCCTACGGTTTTGATTCGCGATTGTAACAGTAGCTGGGTCCCCGGACGGTCTCTCAAGTTCGATCTCCCACCCGCTTTCAAAGTACGCCTTTTTGCAGAGAGATTTACGATGTGCTTAGGAAACACGGCCGAGGTATGGCATTTTATCTAGACTCTGCTAGTTATCTCTCCTAAGCCCATGACCTATATCAAAGGAAGGCTAACTGTTGGTCCCTATCGCTCCTCGCCCTTAATAATAGCAGGTTGAGGGGATACAGATAAGAACAATCAGCGGATCAAAGCGAATTCCCTGGTGCCCACGAGCCCACCGAGTCATGTACCAATGCATGGCGCACTACGAACTCCAAGAGCATTCCATGCTCACACGTGCGATCAGACCGAGCAGCCGAACAACTTCTGCTCCGCAGAATACGGACAGACAAATTTCTGTCTTTGCGGAGCTTTGCCAGTCCCTAAATTGCTATTTCCCCACCGACCTATGGTTCCATCACACTGTTCACCCGAAGATCAAATCTTCGCTGAAAAGCAAGTTCAAAAAGCTTCGCGAGATGGAGATCATTAAGGATTACGTGTCAGAAATGGGTGTAAAACCTGTGTACTGGCCCCCGTACACTATGAAATGGGCTGAACCGGATCGGTCGTGGGGCCGCGGGGTTAATGAAGCCGGCTTCCGGTCATTTGTGGAACGAGTTAAGGAGGACGAACGTCGCATGCTTAAGGGGCAGATGACCTTACCGCTACGAAGGCCAGTTGGTGACGGACATCTTGTTCGTCACGAAAATGCAGGACGTTCGCAATTACGCAGCCCTCCCAAATCCCGGCCCGAACAGGAACCAGTCAGACATACTCTTCGGCCCGTGGCCCCGGGCACAAGCGGCCGCGCTGTTCAGAAATCTGGCAGTCTTACTCTGGTTTTCTCGCCGGCGCCATTACGGAATAACACGGGAGCGCATGTAACCATGATTGACATCAAGAACCTCAACCCTCCCCGAAACAGTGAGGATAGCAGTAGTACTGCTGCTCAACGCACAATCCATCATCCCAGAACAAACTGACCGACTGCGTACCCGTCACCGCCCCCCACAGAAACAAGGCGTTCATCCATACCTTGTATTCGTTTCGTGTCCAGAAATTCTAGCTCTCGAAAGTTGCCTTCCCCCAACTCCCTCCAAACTCGACTTGGCGGGACGCGCCACACAGAGGAGTGGGGGGAGAAAGGGCAACACGCGCGCGCATGGCGTAAGAGAGAGAGTCTCTGGGCATCCTCCATTAACCACAACTACGAGCAATACCATTGCATCTTCCGGACGAAATAGGGATGCCAGCAGCGCAGGTATCCTCTATGGCGATGCTTACCTACCGCATCCACCTCGTGGACCTCTTGTCGAATCCGCAGACAGGATCCTCTTTTCATCTCACCCGACCGGGAGCGAATTTCAGTGAGTTCTGTAGCCGCTAAGGTTCTCTGCGATACACTGATCCTGTGGACGGTATGCCCAGTGGAGGAGCTGACAAATTGCCTTCAAGGCAAAACTCGGAGTAGTAATATCCCCTGCGGCCAGACGGTGTCCGGTAACTGTGATTCTGCGACGCTCGAGGTTGTCCGGGGAGAGAGCTTTGGGTATGAACTTCCGAGGAAGTTTAGATGGAATAAGACCCGCCTCTTTCTTTCTCGTTTTGCTCTTTACGAAGATCACCACATTTACCCTTTCTCCCGTTCGAAGATGGACATGCTACGGCTCTATTGTCACGGGCTGACCATTTTGAAGACCCAAGGCGGTCAGACGTGGCAGAAAAGGATAAACTACGGGAAATCACGGACCAATGAAGTAGGGACCGACAGGACCGAAGGGTGGTCCCACTGGTCCACTCAGGACCAACAGGACCGACAGTCAGTCCACCACAGTCCTGCACTAAGGACCAAGCAAACTGGTCATCAGTCCTAGGGAGAGCTTGGAAGGGAAATGCCTATATAAACTACAGTCTCTACCATATATCTAGTTTGTCTTTCAAGACTCTCCAGTAGTTAATTCAAGTACAACTACACCCCTACACTTAAATACACACTTCTCACCCATATCTTATAAACACTACTTAACTACCTTACTCTACCACCAACAGACAACCACTTCAATCCTATCACTAGTTATATCCACCTAATACCGTCAATGGGCTAGTATTAGGATTATAATATCTATACTTAGAACTTAGTAGAAAAACTAACTAACATAGTTTTAAACCTATTAGCAGCTACTTTATAAGATCGTAAGAAGGAAAGAAAATTTAAGATATTAGAAGGGAGATATAATACTTTAAAATATATTATTATTTTAAAAGCTTTTAGTTTACTTAAAGATAATTTTTCTAATTAATATTTTTTAGAGGTTAAGTTATTTTCTAAGTTTTACTTAATTTTATTTTAAGTAAGTTAATTAGTTATTTAATTAATTTATAGGTTTTTTATTTATAATTATAGTATTCTTAGTATAATAAGGTAGTTTACTGTCTAGGTAATATTAAAAAAGATATTATTAATTCTTCTAGTAATAGTAATATAGAAGTATATAGTCTTAGTATTTATAACTTTATTTTTATATTTAATTAGTATTTTATTATATATATTTAAAGTATAGGGCTAGTCTTTTATAATTTATAGGAGTTTTAATTTATTAATAATTATAGGTAAAATAAAGTTTCTTTATATTCTACTATCTATTAAAGCTATTAACTTTTAATTTACTAAGATAACTAGTACTTTTAGATAGTAGATCTTTTATCTTTTTATAATATTTATCTTTTATAGGTCCTTTTAGGATCTA